CCTCGGCACCTGTCGGGGCAACATAAGAAGTTCCTGTAGTCTGAGGCGTACGTAAGTCATAAGGGCACCACGGTTTTCAGATGGAAGAGACTTGCTCTATGGCATCCGTGAGATAAGCTAGGGTCAAACCAGATTTGGCAACCCCTGGCTGTTGACCTGGGATCTGCCTTCAAGACCTCTTCCCTTATTAGAGGGTGAACTTTGGCATGAGGAAGTAAGACGAAACGAGTAAAATGGGCATGGCGGTGTAGACATGCAACCCCAGCACTCAAAAGGTAGAAACAGGATCAGAAGTTCAAGGTCATCCTTGGCTACGTAGGGAGTTTGAGGCCAGCCTGGGATACATGAAGACCTTGTTTCAAAGCAGAAGAAGGAGTCAGAGAAGGAGAAGAAATGCAAATGGATCTTTCCCTGGTGTCACCTTTCCCCTTCCTGTCACTCACGTGGACCTCAGATAAAGGAACAAATGCTCTCACCGTCTTGTGTTTGGAGAGTTTTGAGCAGACAGGAAGAAGATTGAGCCTGGGAGCAGCTGTTCTTCTAAGAGTCAAATTAAAAGACTGTTTTTCTCTGCACTTCAACCAGCACCTACAGGCTGATACCAACAAATCAGAAATGTCAATTAATAATTAAAGTCTATGATTGCTACCAAGGAGGCTCAGACTGTGTTTGTCCCCCACACCTCAGCTCCTACTTCAGGTGCCCCAGAATATGTGTCCCTGCAAACTAAGTCCCTACGGAGGCTGAGCTGAAGAGGTCTTGAGCATAACACCTTGGGGACAAGAACATATATTAAGCAACCTGCTCTTCCTTGAGCGCAATCCTCCTCTGCTCCCCTCTTGGGCTATACCAACTACAGGACTTTGTCTTAATTCCATGGTCCTGGCTTAGATCAGAGTCTTTGACTCCTTCCCAGGCAAAAAGAGGCAGAGGAAAAGACAAGGAACGGTAGGTCCTTTTCTTTGTAATGTGGGTGCAGACCTACTTCTCTGGTAATGGTAGAAAGTCATCCCGGCAGAGGTATAACTCCCTGTATGCTGTGCCCCTTGTTAGTAGACATTATGTATCTTCATCTCATATACTTCCCCACTCTGCTTGCGGTATCACTGAAGGGCTCCGCCTGCACCAGGAGATTGAGATTCACTGTCTGCATTAATGTCAATAACCAAAAGTTCAAGGCTGGGCTTATTACGTGGCCTACCCCAACCCCTGCTCTCAAAGGCAAAGAGAAGTCACTAAGACCACAGCAGTTAGCTGTGTTATCACTGGGTGACAGCAAATGCACCATACACTCTGTCCCGAGGAAGATTCCTGCAGGAAGGAAGCTGGGTCACAGGGGGACCTGAACTTTGTTGAGAGGACATTCAACCCGTACGAAAGAATAAAATCAATTGTGAGCTCGATGATAATAAACAGATCGGCGATGACCATCAACCATTAAGGAGTGACTTAAATACCTAATGACAAGGAAACCTTCCCTGTGTGGTAAAATTATCTTTTGAAAAGCTGTTACATAAAAGTATGGCTATGCATTAATAAGGCCTACCGAGCAGATCCAAGACACTTGATATAACAGTGGAGCTTACCTTGTAAAATGAAATAATCTCTACCCATTTAAGATGTTTCTAGATTTAAGACTGGACAACTCTTCTAAGAACACTAGACATTGATTAATTAGCATGAGGTTAGAGACAAACCATTTATTTTGATGACAATGACGCTGGACCCCAAGACAAAGAAATATGTAGTGTACCCCACCTAAGCTTCCCTGAAATACTTAACTGTGCTGAAGAGCCTGTACCATAAAAGATAATAATGAAAGGTTATTTCAGAAATAATAGTTTCTATGTAGAGAAAGGGCACACCAGATAAAGGACTGAGGTCAATGGTGCAAAATTGGCCATGGAACTAAAGCACAAATGAGAAAAAGATCACCCAGCCATATGAACCAAGGAGCTCAAGGATGTCTCTTCCAGGGTACTTAGATTTAATGACACATACCTATAACCACAGCATTAAGAAGGTTGAGGCTAGAATCCTGTGAGTTCCAGGCCAACCTATATGACATAGCAAGACTCTGTCTCAAAAACAATAATTAAGATTTCTATGTATGGTGGCAGGCAAGGCCTCTATGAGACCTAGTTAAAGAGAAGCATCAAGATAAAAGTGACTAGAATTCCTCTGAGTTACATGACAGAAGATCAGAAACACACAAAGGACAGTGGGAAAATAAAGATAGGTGACACAGGAAAAGGAAACGAGCCGTGGCGACATCTACAGAGTCATCATGGTGAAACAGCCAGGAGCGGTCAGCTGGCATACAGCCACTCTACCGTGCTCAAACCAGGCTGGAGTCAGCGGTAGCTGGCAGGGAGGCGCTGCTGCCTGCTGAACACAGCCACCGTGAGTCTGACAAGCCAAAGAGAGACTGATTAGACTACAGAGCTGCAATCGGGAGCTAGGCACACTCTGGACAAAAAGATAACCAGAGCAATGCGGAACTATGGTGACTGTGGTAAACATACTGCATGAGAGTCTTAAGCTGAGTCTCCCTGCAAGATCCAGAGGGACACAGGAGAATGCCCCTCTGCCGCTGCCTAGGCAAGAGAGACGGCAGGAATATGAGAAAAGTGCTTAACCTGGCGTAATGCCACTCATGAACACAAGAGTTCCTAGACAAGAGCTATCAGAGAAGAGGAATAAAAACAGCAGAATGTGGAAGGAAAGAGAGTGCCCAACAGCAGTGGTGAGCACAGGTATGGGTGTGCCTTCCACACCCCGTCACAGAAAGTCCTGCATGCACACCAGAGATGAAGCTGCAGCCGGCAGGCAAGGGGCTGAAGAAAGGAGACTCCTACACAGTCCCCTTTCACTAGGGAAGACACACTGGGCGACTTTGTTTAAAGCCCTTACCCCACCTGCAACACTGAGGCAAAAGATGACCAAGGGGGCAGGAAAAGCTGTGTTCATCTCAACCCGCAAGAAACACGGGCTACTATTCTGTGCTAGTGCATAGAAACACAGGCTACTATCCTTTGCTAGTGCATTTTCATTTTAACTTTTAATATTTGCTTTGGTACTTAACTGCTTAGTTTTTGTTTTAGCTTCTGTCTCATCCAAACAGACTTTTATCTTTTTTTCTTTCCTTCTTCTCTCCACCTATTTTAGAACATGTTCACCACTGTTTCTTATCACTCTAACCCACATTTACCTCCTTTCCAAACTTAACTCTATGTTTTTCTTTCCCTTTCCTGTTACTTCTTAATTAGTTATTTCCTCTCTTTTTATTTCTTAATTATTAATTTGCTCAGCTTTAAAAGCCTATTGATTATGTTTTTCCAAGTCAGTACCATAGTGCCACTGTCTCTGAACCCTACTGAGAGCGCAAGGGAAGGGCCGAGTGTCCACTACTGCAAGTTCACACCAAGGCTGCTGCCAACTCTGCATCTGCTGCTGTAGCCAGCATCCCTTCCAAATAGTCCAGGAAACATAAGCACCAGCAAAAACAGCTTGCCCAGAGACTTGCAAAATATCAAAAGAGGGTTGAGAAGGTGAAAAGGAAAGCCAGGGCCACAATCACACCAACAGAAGGTGCAAAACACAACAAAGAAACAGCAAATATAAGAAAACGGCCACAAGACCACAGTTCCCCAAAACAAGAAACCAAGGGCTGTAAGAGATGAAATGCTGGAAAACATGGCTCAGAGTCCTGCTTTCTAAAGACTTAATAATACACAGGAGCCTCAGACAAGCAGATGCATGAAGCGAGAGAGTCAGCTAGATTCTAGAAGTCAGCTACAACAGAAGGCTAACGAAACAGAAGGATCAATAGGTGAAACGAAATAGGTGATCAATGTAGATAACAAACTTAGAAAAATAGGGAAACTTCAGCACCTGATTCTGAGCAGCCAAATAGAAATGCTGGGATTCAAAGAGGCCATCGATCAAATGAAGACCACAGCAGAAAGTACCAACAAACAGAAGCACGCTGCCAAGGAAAGGTCAAGTGTGTCCCGCTCTTCCAAAGGATCTAAGTTCAACACACTGCTAGCAGCTTACAACTGCCTATAACTCTAGCCCCAGGGCATCTGATGCCCTCTCCTGGCCTCCACACATATGGAATATACTCTCACACATATACACATTGATATTTTCTAAATCTTCAAAAAATATTTTAAAAATAGCATATTAAAAGAAAATCCTATTCACAGAAACAAAGGAAAGAATGATTTTTAGGAAACAAATAGATGAACCAAGGGGAGCTAGGAAAGAATCCATCCCGTCCAACACGGTAAGCCAGGAAACCTCCATGAGACAAAGAGCCAGCCATAGAAGAACCCAACCAACCACAACAGCTAGCAAAGTCACAGGCACAAACATTTCTCCAAAACAGCCTTTGACATAAATGGCCGCGGTGGCCCCTTTAAAGATTTAAAGGCTATCTGAACGCATTAAAAAGCAAAGGGCAGCTTTCTGTTATCACCAAGAAACACATGCACTGTGAGATCAGAGTATCAGAGGCAACTCAGGAAGCAAATGACAGCAGTCAGAAAACTTCCTCGGCTGGTCTGATAGCTGCTAAGGCTGGCCTCGAGCCAGCCAGTCCAGGGAAGCAATAAAGTCACGATGTCACTATCTCGGTGGTTCTCAACCTGCGAGTCACAACCCATCTGGAGTCACATATCAGATAGCCTGCATATCAGATAACCCCATTAGGATTCATCACAGTAGCAAAGTTACAGTGGCAACAAAATAATTCTATGGTTGGGCGGGTCACCACAACCTGAGGAAGTGTATTAAAGCACTAATTAATTAAATTAAAGCATCGCCAAAGCATTACAAAGGTTGAGACTCACTGTACTGTATGTTAATAAAGCAAACAACCCATAAGAAGGTACAAAGCACAAACACATATACATATATGTATATATTGTATATACATATATATGTACACTATAGATGAACTACACTTGACACCTATCTATAAAATTCCCACTTACCAGTGAGAGTGCACTGGTGGCCTCTTTGTGGTGTTGGAGATTGAACCTCATGACTTCATGCATTCAAGGGAATCACTCGACTATTGAGCTACAGATTCGGCCAATGACTACTACTGATTGGCTGACTGATTTATATGTCCCTGTGGAAAGGACAGTGAGTCACAAGTTGGGGGGGGAGGGAATGCCTGAAGTGGCAGCCCTGCATTTGACCAGATTCAGGCCTAAGAGTTTGGATCTCTCTAGTCATTCCTACGTGGCAGAGCGCAGACTCGTAATTCTTTTCTTTAAGATTTATTTTATTTTATATAGTTTTATATATGTGCAGGCCTCATACATGCTGCCACAGTCTCTGGGAGTTCATTTGAGAATCAGTCCTGGTGTATCTGGAAGATACTGTCTCTTACATTCTTTCCGCCTTCTGCCTAGCTCCCTGCACCCTGAGGGGAGGGCATTGATGGAGCCATCCCATTCAGGACTGAGTGTTCCGAGGTCTCTCACTCTCTGTACATCATACAGCTGTGGGTCTCTGTGTTAGGTGGCATCATCAGCAGGAAGAGGCTTCTCTGAGAAGGCTGAACACGATCTCTATATGTCCAGCAGAGTGTCGTCAGGAGTCATTTAGTTGCAGGATTCCATTAGGAGAACGACAGGATTTGTCTCTCCCCAGGCCCATGTTCACTCTAGTCTCGGGTCCTCGGCCACCAGAGCAGTGTCAGGTGCAGGTGCCCTCTCATGAAAGGGGCCTTAATTCCAGTCAGATACCGGTCGGTTACTCCCACGGTATTTACGCTGATGTCATACCAGCCTATCACGCAGGCAGGTCATCACTGCGGATCGTCCACCCCCAACACATGCTAGCTCTTCCTTTTCCCCTCATACGGGTTTTTAAAGGGAAGCTGCACAGGCCACACATGTTAAATGCTCTGCTCTCATTCACACGGCTTCAGCCCTGACTGGCAGAACTTCCAGAAATTCCAGAACTTCATGGGCACGCAGAAATTACATACCAACTACATATAATACACACTTACAGCCACATCATCTACTCACATCTCACATCATGTACCACAGAACACACATCGCATGCCTACATACCACACAACGCCCATTTACATATGGCATGCTGCTCATTTGCACAGGACACTGGCTTCACACGTCCATGATGCACTGACACCCACACTCTCACACCCACCATCACACTTTGTACATTCACTCATAAATCTCTCTCCTTGCTTCCCTCTCTCCTTTCCTTCCTCTCGTCTTCCCCAGGACTCCACCGCTATCCCAGCCAATGGGAGAGCCCAACTAGCTGCCTGGCAGGTGCAGGCCACTGGGAAGAGCTCTCTCTAAGTAGGAAGTGACAACACTGATCCTAGCTGAAACTGACCTGGGTTAGCCACTCTAACCTGAAGCCTGAGGCTGCCCTCAGACAGCTTGGCCTACTTGCTGGCTGAAGGCTATCACATGCCGGTTGCTCTGAGCTAGAAGAGACCTGGAGAGAGATGGCCAGGGCAGGGCAGGGCAGGGCAGGGCAGAGCAGGGCAGGCTGCTCGCGCCCACACGTTTCCTCTTCCCTCTTCCTCTGCACCTGCTCTGAGCTCACATTCAATCTCCAGGGCTGAGGAAATGGTTGTGTTGTGTTTTGGAGAGCATGTGACAGCTCTGGTGTGTGGGTGTGACTGGGGAGCGGTGTGCAGTCAGCCAGCCACCAAGGAGCCTGAAATAGAGTGGGCACAAGTGACTGGAAAGCCTAGACCAGGGGCCCTGGGCACTGTGGTTAGCTAATGAAGCGGCCCTGAAGGAAAACCTGGGAACCCCCTGAGAGGCTACAGCTTTGCACATCTCCATGTTAAAGGACTTTAATAGCATTGTCACACCAGTGATTTCTGCTGTGTACCAGGCAAGACAGTGACTGACTGTCCCCAAGTTAGAACAGGGAAGTTTGCCCAAGGCTAAAACGTGTCAAGTCTGGACAAACCCTCAGGCATTCCATCTTGTATCCAAACTTGTTTTCATGAGCTCTCATGGACTCGGCTTCTCTCTTCTCTCCATCAATGGCCTTACCCTTGTCACTAGGTGTCCTGAAGACTGGCTCTCTCAGGCGGAGTTGCTTTGTGACTTGTCACACCTGAGTCTTAGCATTGCCCTTCTCTTACCGGTCAGTGGCGTGTGCCTCTATGAGAGGGAAGACCATTTTGGAGACCACTGTGGGAGAATAAGGACGAAGTACAGCTGGGGCACCGGGCAGGCTGTGGCTAAGACCCCCAGGAATGATATTCTGCCTGGTCGGTGCCTGTCTCGCCTTTATTTATTTTCTAGATAGAGTGCAGAGAAAAATAGTGACTTGCTCAAAATCTGTGGTTAAGATCACTACAAATAGTAGGGTGTTCACAAGTATTCTTCGGAGGGATTAACTGCCGGCTCCTTAAGACTTCAAGCAGCAAAGCCTTTGTTGTGGTGTGGGGCAGAGAATTGGAAATGAGGCTGTGTTATCCTGAAGACAGAGAAACAATAAATGACTTTTGGCCAGAAACCAATCAATGCATAGGAATCCTGGGAGGCCCCGCTGAGGAAGGTGTCAAAGCCCGGTAGCTGCCCAGAGTCCTGAGTTTCTTGAACCCTAGTCACCCATTTTTATGTAACACATGTTTTCTCAACACTCGATTTCCGCTGTGGTTTGCTGATTTTTTTTTTAAGACAAAGACCAGTTAGCAAACAGGAGAGATTATCATTTCCTCATTTTTAAACCCTTACCCCTCAGGGGGGCCAGACTCTCCTTCAGGCACCCGGCTGTCGAAGGCTCCCAGGCGATCGCTGTCCAGACGGCCATACTCCAGGGGCTCCTGTATGGGATCTGGCCTCCAAGGAGCCATGTGCCTTTGGCTCTGGTTACTTTGCTTCCTGCCAGGTGAGTACTGCGGGGAAACACTCCCGGCTAATTACCAGGTTTGAATTAACCAGGGGTAATTCACGGCCAGCCATCTCCAGCCCTAATGTTTCTGCACGGATTGAGTTTCAGCCCGAGCAAGAGCAGGGGGATGGAGACTGTGAAGTGCTGGCCCCTCCCAAATCGGGTAGCATTCTTCCCGACTCCCATCCAGCGCAGCCGCTAGGTTTTCAAAGGCTGAAGGCGTCTTGTATCCTAAAGAGTCACATATGAGATCTGAAAATAGGTGTCACCTAGGTTTGTTCTTCTTACATCCATTTTCTCTTTCCTCAGATCTTTCTTTTCTTTTGCACTCTTGAATTGGCAGCTATTGAGTTCAAATGAAGACTGCCTAACCTAGTCCCTAAACTTCATAGCTCAATTTACAACCTCCTATCCGGCACCCCACTTAAACGGTCACCAAGATCTGGGACTCAATGTGCCTGATGCCTTGCCTGAGAGACTTCACTGGACCCTACAACGCAGCTCTCCCATCTGTCCTAACCAGCTCTAACGTTATAACGTTAGCCAATGGTTCCCACTACCTACTCTTATATTCTAAACGCACCACACTCTGTTGTATCTTCCAGCCAAACAGGCTCGTCTTTGAACAAATGCTACAGATCCCTGTTCCCGTGCCCTCGCCCAGGCTGTTCCTGCCACGGGAACACCATCCCTCCCAGTTTACCGCCCACTGCTTCTTCCCAAACCTACTTACCTCTCGCTCTTCAGCACCTTCTGAGTCTGGTGAGGCACATCATATTTTGGCTCAGTGCGCTTATCTTACTTGGTTCATCGATAACATCTCCTTTACCAGAGCTAAGCTTTGTTGAGGATCTGATTGGATTAAGAAACGCTCGGGCATCAGTCAGGCTTACCTTTGGATGTGATGGTGAGGATGTTTCCAGAGAAAGTTAACCGAGGGGGAAGCTCCACCTTGCCTATGGATTGCACTATGGGCTGAGTTCACGGATAGAATAACAACAGAAAAGAAAGGAAGCTGCTGAACCCTAGGATTCACCTTCCTTGTTGATCCTCCCCCCCACACCATCCCACCCCGAGATATAATCCAGCACCTTCATGCTTCCGCTCCCGTAGCTTCCATCCCATGGCGGTCTCTACCAGCTCTTAGCCTTCCTCACCCTGCCACCCTTTAACACAGTTCCTCGTTCTGAGGTGACCCCAACCATAAAATTATTTTTGTGCTATTTCATAACTGTAAATTTGCTACTGATATGATTATAATGTAAATATCTGTGTTTTCTGACGCACTTAGATGACCCCTGTGGAAGGGTCATTCAACCTACCTCTAAAGGGATCGCAGCCCTCAGATTGAGAACCACTGGTCTACACCCCCAAACCGTGAGCCCACATAGACCTTTCCATACTGAAGTTTCTTCCTGTTAGGTATTTGGTTGCAACAATGAGAAAAGTAACTAATCCAGGAGATTTATACCAAGAAGTAGGACCACTGCTTGAGACATCTGACCTGTGGCTTATAGGTTTTTCAGAGCTCATTTTCGGGAGGCATTTTGAAACAGGGATGATAGAGTAGGTCTAGAACACTACACAGAAGTCAGTTAGGGTATACTGGTGAGAGTGCATAAGACCAGAGTCTCTCACACACAGGAGAGCAAGGACTCCATCGGAACTTGGAGTAGCAGTCATGTGTGTTATAACACGGTGAAGAATCTGGCTGTATTCTGTTTGCGCCTCCATAAACTGAATGATCCTGAACTCAAATGGACTACGTTGTTTGACAGGAGAATTGTAATTGTGGCATAGCCTTCATGCAGTGGCATGGTTATGGCTCCCTGTGTTTACCCAGATTTACAGTGAGAAAGAACAGAAATGTATGGAAACTGCTCCGCTTGGCAAAGAAAGGAGGGTGAACTCAGTTAAAGATGCCAATAGAGCAAAGAACTACGATTCGTTAAGAGATCAGTACAGTGAGGGGCTGTCTTATAGGGTTTCTATCGCTGCAATGAAACACTATGACCAAAGGGCAAGTTGGCGAGGAAAGGGTTTATTTGACTGGCACTTCCGTGTCATTGTTCATCACTGAAGGAGGTCAGGACAGGAACTCATCAGGACAGGAACCTGGATGCAGGAGATGATGCAGAGGCCATGGAGGAGGGCTGTTCACTGGCTTACTTCTCATGACCAGTAATTTGCTCAACTTATTTTCTTATGGAACCCAGGACTATCACCCAAGGGATAGCAACACCGATAATGAGCTGGGCCCTCCCCCCATTAATCACTAATTAAGAAAATGCCCCCAGAGGCTTGCCTGAAGCCCAATCGTTTGGAAGAATTTTCTTTTTTTCTTCCATTTATTTTTGTTTTAAAAAAATTTACTTTTCATTTTACATACCAACCCCAGTTCCCCTCCTTCCCCTTCTCCCATCCCACCCTCCTCCTCCTCCTTCCCAACCCAACCCACTCCTCAGAAGGGGTAAGAACTTCCTTGGGGAGTCAACAAGATCTGACTTGAGGCAGGACCAAGCCCCTCTCCCCGTATCAAGGCTGAGAAAGGCATCTCACCATAGGGAATGGGCTCCAAAAGCCAGTTCATGCACCCGGGATAGGTCCTGGTGTGACTGCCAGGCCCCCCACAACAGATCAAGTCACATAGCTATCACCCCCATTCAGAGGATCTAGTTTGGTCCCATGCAGGTTCCCCAGCTCTCAGGCTGTCAGGAGTCTGTGAGCTCCCACTAGCTGGGGTCAGCTGTCTTTGTGGTTTTCCCCATCATGATCTTGACCCCACCCCTTGCTCATATGACTCCTCCTCCCTCTCTTCAGCTGAACTCCAGAAGCTCATGGAAGCATTTTCTTAATTGAGGTTTCCCTCCTCTGAGATGACTTTAGCTTGTGTCAAGTGGACATAAAACAACCCATCAATCCATCACAAGGAAACCTTCAACTCTGCAATGGGACCATAGGAAAGACGACTTGAACTCGGTAATTCACCTCTCAAACTAGAGGGTGTAGTGATGAAAACCCAGCACGTATGTGGGCTTCAGAGGGTGACTTTGGAGAGTCACTTCACACCTCCTACCTACTAAAGGCAGGGTCGCTCGTTTTGTATCTGCTGCTATGCTACATACTTTAAGATAGTCGGCCTGTGAATTTTCAGGCAGTTCTCTCTGCCTCCTATCTCACCGTAGGAATGAGAGGATTACAGATGCATATCTGGGGTTTTGCATGGGTTCCAAGGACTGAACTTGGATTGTCAAACTAACAGTTTCACCCATTGAGCCCTCTCCCTGGACCTCCAGCAACTTATTCTTGATTCACTAGCGTGAGGATGGGTTTGGTCTTCAGCCCTTGGATGGTAGCATTATTTGCCAAGATAGAAAACTCTTTCATTAGCGAGCAGGTTTAGGAAGAGTTCACTTCTGGCTGTTGTTTGATATGATCTTAAATAGCCAATGGAGTTCAAGGGCCAGAGCCAGTTTGGATCCCAGGGGTAGTAACAAGACTAGAAGCAAACATGTGCTGAGTTAAAACTTTACCAGCCCCTGTATTTAAAGGGCCCGAGAATAAGTGAGCTAGTGTGGAAAGAGCAGGGGAGACACAGGAAGAATCGGTCAGGTACCAAGCTGTGTGAGTCCATCATTGAGGGGTAGGTGGAGATGACTAAGTAAGAGAGGAGCCAGCACGTGAACAACTATGGCAGTATAGCATCAGGGGACACAAAAAGGGGGTCCTAGAAGGGAGACTCAGATGGGTCAAATGCTGCCAAAGGCACCAGTAAGATGGGACAATCAAGTGATCAACAGAGACACCACAACGACAGTTGTCTTGACGTGGATGAGAGCAGTTTCGGCGGTCTTTTAGAGACCAAATTTTGATCGAATTTGATCAAAAAGAAATTGAAGGAGTGGATATGAATTTGATGAGACCTTTGAGGGAGAAAACAGAGAAGAGCAAACAGCGGGGTTTTCAAGGTGCCACTCTCAGGGCTTGTGTGTGAGCTGTTGTGGTGCTGAAGAGAATTCAGCTGATGATGCAGCAGAAAGGGTGATCGTTGCAGACAGACATTCTAAAACAAGAGAAGGGTAGAGTCGGGTTGCAGCGGAAGGAATGAGTGCCCTGGGAAAGGAAAAGAGGGCTGTTTTCCGTGGCAGAACTAAAGTCAGGCGACAGGCCTGTTCACGTGCAGGTTGCTGTCAATGGGAATGGGACTCCAAGTGGAGAGTTCTCATACTTTTAAATGTCTTATTACGTTTCTTTGGTTTGGGTTTGTATATTTGGGGCGTGTGCCACAGAATGCATATGGAGTCAGCTCTCTTTCTCCATCACGGGGGCACTGGGAACCAAAATTGCCAGGGTTGTCAGCTCGTGCCTTCACCTACTGAGCCATCCCACCAGCCCCCTTGTCCTTTTTAAAGGAATTTAGAATTTCACAGTAGGGGCGGGTAGGTAGGGAAAACGCTCACCACAAAAGCATGAGAACCTGAGCTCAGAGCCACAGCAGTCACATAAAAGGTCAGATTCAGTGGCTCACACCTAGGAGCCAGAGCTGGGGAAGCAGAGGCAAAGGATGCTCAGGATTGCTGGTGAATGGGTGAGCTACAGGTCCAGGTAGAGAGAGTGCCTGCCCCACAAACACACACTCGAAACCTATAGCAGTTGTTTTCCTCCTTTTGAGCATTCTGCTCCTGATTGGGTCGAATCCCACCGCTGCCTAGAAAATCTCTGGAGTGGCCTCAGCCCTCAAGGCCCGACC